ACCCACTGAACATCACCTCTGCTTTATTTTGAATTGAAGATTCAAAACTTCTGTATCTCCTTGGCAAACAACTATTGCCAGAACTACATCTGGAACAGCCTAAGTGAGTCATGTTAAATTCCTTAGGCTAAAGAGGCACCATCAAAAAGGAAGTGTATTAAGAGGATAAAGCAACTCCAACAGGATGTGAAAGACAGGATTGCAAACCCAGGAAACAACTGGTAGCCACTTATAAGCATCTGAAAGAAGCCTCCATTCCATGTGCCTGGGCCCTGGCAAGAACAACACTGGATGGAGTCATGAGAAGAACATGAACAGACAACACAGTGGTAGGAGAAAATTGTCCCACCTAATTCCTTGGAGACCTGGCAAGTGATTGTCACTGTCAGTGCAGTAGCTTAATGTTTAAAAGTAAATACCACCAATTTCAATGAAAGCATCTCTGATAGGTTTATGAGAGAGGATTCTACATGTTCTTCCAAGAGGGTTTCTCAATACCTTTGCTTCAAAAATTACTCTGAAGCTAACTTCATAAATGTGTAAAATTTAAACATTTCTTAAAAGCTGCAGAATGGCAAAGTTCCCTGTGCAACTATAATTTGACACCTCCACACAGGTGCACTATAAAAAGCATAAAAACTGGGTCTCAGACTACCTATAAGATCATTTGCTCAGAGGTCCTAGCAGCTGCTACTTCATCTCGGCATATTTACCTGCTTTTGTTGCCAAAATCAAACAGATTAAAACAAAATTGAAGCATGCCTGTGGAGGATTGCCTATACAAACTCATACATATCCATACAACATTCATGCACAATTAAACCCATTATGGACTTTGTGTAATAGGTATTGATTCAAATGTATGCTGATAGCTTCCTGCTCAAAGCCGTAAAACAAAAATTCTCATTAGCTATGTAAAAAAGACCCGTGTGATCAGTCAGCTTTTTCTCCTAAACACTTCAAAAGCCTCAACTAACTCTAAAATCTAGGTTTTTAATAACATCTTACTATTTTAATAAGTTTAGCTCTTATAACTGTGATAAAATATAATTCATTTCGATGTCAGCAGGAGAAACAAAGAACATGGATAAGTTTCAAGTGAAGTTCACAAAAACAGGAAAAAGGAAATAACCACACCACTGGTCTCATTCATAGATTATACTAAACATGGCAGATATCTATTACTCTATGAAGATTGATTCCTTTCCATTTTCTAACAGACCATGAATGAAATTGTTTTGAACTCTTGACAACTTTTAATAAAAGACACCACACATATTTCTGGATTTGTTTTTTGGACCTCATATTTCATCCTATTTTAGGCCCACAGTGAAAATCATTTGGTTTTTCCTTTTTACTAATTACAGAAAAAAGATTAAGACAATCAACCAGAAAAAAGCATAGAATCGAATTTGCCACTGTGAGCCATATCAGCAGCTCTTCAAAGAACATTTGACTGCACACAAGCTATTTACAGCTTCTTAGAACCTATTTAGTATTAACCTAACTTTCATTAGTTAATTTCTCCCATTCCAACCATGTTGACCTATTCTGAGCTTGCTGGCTTTCTACAAGTCTTTACCTGGCTACTGCTGTGTGTAGCATAGCTAATACAGCACAATAAAATATGTTGCATATAGATATTTACATGAGAAATTCCTTTCCAAGAAAGAGTTAGAAAATCCAAGTATTTTCCCTTCATTGCCTTGTCTGGCTCTCAAGAATTAATCTAAAGGAGGGAAGAAAAAATAGGTTAAATTATGGCTGAGAGTTTTGCCATATATTCACTATGGATTAGATCCCAAGCAAAGTGAATGAACAAGTGAAATTAATTTTCAGAGTTTAATCAAGATGAAAAATAATGTTGTGCCTAAAGATACAGGCCGTAGGTGTTGCAGTGTAGTTCTCTGCTCTACTGCAAATTTCTTGCTCAATTTTGGCTTCCCCAGCAATTAATGTGCCAGCATTACTTTCTCTTCCTATCCTTTACTTGTTTTCTTCATGTGGGCTATAAACTTTCAGAGGCAGGAGGCTGCTCCTCAGTGCATGTTTGTACAGCATCCAGCATAAAAAGCCATGATCTCCAATGGACTCTTTGAGCCCTAACTGAAGATAAACCACTTTACAACTCTGTTTTCAAAGATATCTGACATGAAAAAAAGCATAGTGAGTAAAAATGTACAGAAATGCAAGATGCATTGGAATTTTAGCTTGGGAGCATATTATACTTTCTAATTTGCATTGCCCTAATACTATTTTCTAGCCTAAATTAAGTTTGATTTCCAAAGATAGGAGACTGAGGATCTCTCAATGCAAGGCATCTCCTCAACTTTACAATATACTTCTACAAAGAGGACTAATATAAGTACTCAAGCCATCATTTCTGTTTTAAAGACAGCATGACAGCACAGGAGTATGAGAATCATAAGCTTCACATTTATTCACATTTATTCCCAGCATAAAAGGTCGAAATAAGCCATGAACATGGGCCTTCAGGATCTTATATAGCCTGCCTATTTTTCCAAGTCTTTTGATGAAATTTGATTTTTTTGATAGAGTGCAAGAAATATTAGAAAGCATCACTCAATGAGTCTGTTTGCATTATGCAGTAATAGGCTGACCCACTACGAATTTCTCTAATGATTCTGAAACTTTAAATTTTACATTAATTTTGGCTTTAAAATACATCTTTTTTTTTCTTTTCTCCTTTTGAAATCTGAAAACATTGGAGGTTAACTTTTATTGTCTTCTTGAACTGTGGAATCCAATGCATATGCATTGCTATAAATAAACATCTACTACATTGTAGTAACTAACCTTTGGCCCACTCTTAGTGTCTTTCAGTGCTGAGGGACAATTCACTAGATTAAATCATGCATCATGACCAATAGCTCTGAGGACAGATCTCTCTTACAACAAAGTATCAGTGTTGCATGTGGTGGTCAGAGGATACAGACTATTACTACCCAAAAGGACAAAGTTACTACTGGGAATGTTTTAGATGTCCTTAGCTCAGCACGTCTAGTCTAATGTATTCTTCTACCACTGGTAGTTTTCATGGTTTCTTAGCAGTGCTGATGGACTGTGGTAGGACAGGGTTTTTAAAGACTGTTTTTTAAGTCATATTGGAAAGACCTCATCCACCCACTCAAAAATGAGGAAGTTGCATAACACCTTTATGTAAGCAGTCCCTTACTACAAAAATTATGGGTAAGCATGCAAAAAAAGCCTTACTGCACTTCAAATTTCTATTTTCCATTTTCACACAGGTTTTAGTTGTACTTTTGAACTTTTTCTGTACTGGAAAGTAGTATGTACTTTATGTACTTTCTTAAAAGAGCAGGGCTAGCTGATTTTTATATCCAGTTGCTAAAATTAAATACAGCTTTTAAAGTTACTGTATTTTTACTGTCACACATGGTTTCACTGCAGTAAGATACAGAAGAACATTTCTGAAGAGCAACAGTATTGCGGCAGTATTCACAGTACCTAACTACACAAACACTGAATATGCTCTCTGCCTGGAAACTTAATCTTCTTCAAGTGTTAAGGAAAACAATGTCTATAAATACATGAAAAATAAATGGGAAACAGACATAAGTTTAAATATCAGAGAAAAGCTATGTAATGACAGCTCACTGGATGCCAAAGATTAGTGCTTGTAACTTTCCCTCTTGTTCCTTCTTGTAACACACTGCCACAATTATTGCTCCCATGGCTGCAAGCTGCCAACAGACTCTCAACAATACCTAAGAATAGACATCTAGGCATCACAGGAGCTTCATCTCTTCCACACTGTGTAAACAACATTTGTCACATTAAGCTTTACATACATTAGGGACAATTGCTTCACAAAGCAAAGAGAGCACAACAAATGCAAAGTGATGATCAGATATAGAACCGCTGACGCTAGAATGAACCAGCTGCAACTGACGGCAGGAAATAATGACGATGTCAGCAACAGCTGCTCACAACATGAGTGGATGTTTTGTCATACTGTATGTTCTAGACAACCACAGTCCCCCCCAAAAAAGTACTGCAGCATATGGACATATCTGCACTCATTACCACCAGAGGATTTCCACACTCTTCTGCTTCAGTATCTTTCTGCTAACCAGACTCCCTTATTCAACAGACCTAACACAGGCTTGTCTCTTCATTTTTGGTATCTGCACTCAGCATACACAAAGTAACTTCCCCTAGCATGTTATATGCTTTTCTCTAGATCTCACTGACAGGAGTTATGGGGGGAAGGCAGGGAAAGGGCTGGGTTGAGAAGGGAAGGGAAGATGTTGACAACTACTTTTTGCAGACCTGATGCTCCTCTCTTTCCCCTCCAGAAACATCAAAGATTGTGTATATATATTAAAAAAATATTCATTTTCCCTTTTTTGTGTCATGTTTTGATTTTAGCTCCGCTAAACTCACTGATCCTATTTCAAATCAAACTCAATTTAAAAGTGCATGCACATTATACTAATGTTATGAAATTATGTAAATGCAGAAAAATATATGCTCCTTAAACTTCCAGAACAGTTTATGTCACCCTGAACATATCCTGCTAATTTAAAACCAAAAAATATATTTTAAATATTAACTGTACTGAAGGAAATGACTGAGAAAATTTGAATTTTAACAAATGACCTCCCCAGTCTATGACGATACTTTACACATCCAAGGCATTATTTTTGTTACAAAACATTCCATTTTGGCATAGCCAGATTCGAGAAATTAGGTAAAAGAACTCTGGACAGGCTTCTTCAGGAAAATAAGCCTGACTGCCCCAATATCACAATTTTAGTTTACACAGTGGCAACATATTTCTAAAAGAGCTCAGTTACAATCAGCTTATCAATGCAGAAATGTTGTCAATAATTTTGACAGACAGGAATTTTGCCATGAGGTCATAGACTTAGTTTGGATCTTCCCTTGCCTGATTAGACAGAGAGTATTTTACCACAATTGGCTCTAGTCACTGATGGATTTTCATTCCCAAATACCTGTCATCACCATCACTGATGCATTCAGGAAGAGCGAGACTGCAGCCAAACAGCATGATGTGTTGATAGCAGTTGAGACGATTGAGGTAACTGAAGAACTTCAGGAACTTTTCCATTTCAATACTTTTGACAATGGAAAGAACTGAAGTTACAGTGGTGTAGTTATATGGCAGCATTTGGCACTGGCTGTTGGTGATATTTCTGCAGGCACCTGTGAAATCAAAACAATGTATTTAGAACAATAGTATGACCACTGAAGAGCATGCATTGAACAGTCAGTATATATAATATATAAACAATGCTGGTATCTCACAGGTATGATTACATTCCATAATGCTATCATAATACTGTCAAAAAAATAAGAAAAAAATTACATCAGAGAAGCTTAGCTTGAAAGACCAATTAAGCTTTTAGCTATTTTCACAATCCTCTGACTTTGTACAAAACCCGAACAGAAATAAAACAAAACCAATTTCTCTTTGACACAGCCTGGATATAATAAAATTCAATGGCAGCTGAGAATAGAAGTCAGACAGAAAAAAAATGGGTTCTAAAGCTGCTCCGGTTTTAGTGTTCCCATAAAGTTTCTCTTTTCGTTACCATTCTACTTTGACAAGCAGCAATTTCATTAAGTGAAATTTCATCAAATTTATTCACGAGATCATCATGCATCTCCTGAGGCACAACTGCAAGATAGTCTCTGCCACGGCATGTGGCAAGAAGCACTGACATTTTTGGCTGAGATCATGTGCATGGACTGCTTTAGACATTGTAAAACTGACACAGTCTTGACAGAGAAGGGTACAGTTCCTTGGAGCTATCTGATCTTTTTGTGGTACTCACTGGCTGGACAGCAGAGCAATGAATTCCAAATTCATGGATAAGAAGAAGGAATTTTGTGGCAATTATATAATAATTTTCAAAACAAAGAAGATACTATGTGGCCACATTTCTCTTCACAAAGAAAAGGAAGGCACAACTTCCCAAGGATATTTTCTGGGAATTGCAGTGAGGAGCCTCAGAGAAAGAATAAACAATTCTTATCTCAATTGCTGCTCCTCTTGTTGTGTTCATGTGGAATATGCTCTGGAGATTGTTTACCCAAGGTGACCAATTGCATCCACGTGTGTGTGTCAGGACTGTCGGGAGACAGTCACAAGATTTTGTTCAGATGAATGCTTGTGCAGTTTCAGTTTAGACGTAGTGTAATATAGTATACAATAATATAGTATAATAAAGTAATTAATTAGCCTTCTGATATCAATGGAATCTGCCTCATCATTTCTCCCTGCCACAGGGGTCGCCCTGAATTTACTATAATACTAAACCCAGGACCTGTCCTTGCAACAGAATGATCACACAAAGAATAGCATAAATAGTCTCTCTCCATCATTCTTATAGGCTCCTTTCAGGTGCTGTCAGGCTGCAATTATGGGGAATATAAACTAGTTTTGGCAATACCTACAGGAAGGTAAGCAGAGCAGGGAATGAAAATAGGAGCATGTGAAAACACTGTTGATCAGAACAGCATGGTCCCTAATTACATGGGTCATTTTTGATATTCATCTGAATTAAGAGTTTTCTGTTTATCACCAGCAATTGCCAAATGCACTAGTAAAAAAGTGCTTTTTTCTACTCCAACAATTGCAATGCAAGTCTACAGTTTCATACTCAGTCCTGCTGAAACTAATTTAAACCACACATTTTCCCTTTCCCATTCTCCTCTTCAAATTGTTCCTACGGCCTGCATCTGCACAAAATACACTGAACTAGCAGGCTGAGCTGACTGGAAACAACCACCTACCTTCTCTCCCAAAAGACAAAGTCTTTCATAGCCCCAAAGAAAAGCAGCTAGAACTGCAGCTAAGCTTAATCACTGTTTTTATTTTTAAAAAACCGATCCATGCCTGTAATGATAATAAGGCCATAGTTCCTCAGCCAGTAGTGATTGCTGCTTCCAGATTTATTTTTATTTCATGCAAAGAACAGCTCTGCACATTAGCCTGCCTGCCTTTTCTCTCTTCTCTTGCACCACAATGTCGTTTTTTGGTGGGCACAGGGAGAATGGAGAGGAAGAGGGGAAAAACAACTGTTTCACTTGGATCAAATAATGGGATTGAATAGCTTTTTGGCAAAAGAATATTTTTTTCCAAGAGAGGAGAAGGGGTGGGGCAGTGCAGTGGCAGAAACTGGAGGTTAAGATCAGAGCTGTTCACAGCAGCTGAAGCAGTGATTTTACACAAAGTGTAAAATCCAGCAACATAAAGTCCTTTGAAAGCACTAGGAATACTTGAATTGCACCATCAGAGTTAATTCCTGTCTAATGAGAAATAGAAGAACAACTTCCCTCAAAAAATTAATTAATAAATTTGGTGTAACTCTTCATTCTTAATGCATCCATTTTCTCCTTTGCACTACAAAAAAACATCTGGGATCCTTCAGGTATATGAAATGTAATGCAGTTAAATGATGTCTCAGTTAAAGTTAATGTAAACCTGCTTAGATCCTAGCTAGGCTATATTTTTAACAGGATTTTTATAGAAGATTTGCAAAACATGCCTCTGCCTCAAGAATGCAAAGCATAACATAGTATGCGAGAAGAGTATCTGGCCTGAAGAGAAAAGTAGGCAGCCTGATTTTCATATCCCAAGTCAAATTTTCTCAAAGTTTCAATTAGAAAATGAACTTATTAATCAGAGGAACTTTTACAGAACATCTTTAAGTAGCTTCCAGAAAATGGAACTGTACTCAACTTGCAGCAGCAATCACCATCCACTTCATTACAGAACTTAGCCTAGCACACCCTCAGCACTAATTGCACAGTCGCACTCCATAATTTCACTGGTAAAGCCTCCTTAAATCCAAGGAAAAATGGCAATATTCACCTGGCTCTTCCACAGCAAAAGTTCTACCAATGAGGAATGAAATCATATCTTTAATCCTAAAATGTCTTGAAAATTTCTAAGAATCCTACCAAAAGAGGCAAAATAAAAGCCAACTCTTCCAGTCTAACTTGCCTATGGCAGCATTTGCCAAGTTTCTTGATAGGGGAATGACCTGCAGCACATCAATTTTTTACCAATCCCAAGTTGCCATGCTCCCCTGACCTTAAAAAAATGTCGTCACTCTTCTTGATTTCACAATTTCCTGTATGAAACATAGGAACCTATACAATGCGTTTTTTAGCTTCTCTGTCCTGTGTCACATTCACATTTTCTAAAAAATCACGTCACCCAGGATTTTTCTCCTAGGAAGCTGAGAAGCCTCAGAGAAAAATGAAAAACAACAATTATCCCATTTGCTTCTCCTGTGTTTTGCTCCTTTGGAATGTGGTTGGAGATTGTTTACCCACAGGTGATGGTTTCATTGGTTTCTGGTGTGAATTGTTTTGTCTCATTGGCCAATCAAAACTGTGTTGGAACTCTGGAAATAGCCATGAGTTTTCATTATTACCCTTTTAGCATTCTGTAAGTATCTTTTCTGTATTCTTTAGTATAGTATAGTTTAGTATTCTTTAATATAATATAGTATCATAAAATAATAAATTAGCCTTCTGAGAACATGGAGTCAGATTCATCATTCCTTCCTGCCACGAGGGTCCCCACAAATACAATAGTCCTGTTGATAAGTATCTGATTTGTTGTAGACTTTTGCTCCACGTGAAAGAACTACAGTATTCCCACCCAGCATCTGATTTTTCCACCAAAACCTTTTTCCAAAACTCATTACTGTCTTAAAAAAATTTAATTTACTATAACTTCTTTTTATTTACTATGACATCTTGGTACATTTTTCATTTCAATTATAACAGAAGATGGACAGATTTTCTTGGCCTCTCTCCAGCTATGAATTTTCTCATGTACAGTCCACTTGGAACTGAGTATCTCATGCTGCATTTCAGATGTTTCCTCCATAATTTTCTTAGGATCTATCCTTTGGAATCCACACAGCAGGGAAACATACAAACTGTTTTCTCTTTAAGTATTGTGAGTTAAAATCAATCATTTCACAACTAAAGCATAGTGTCTGCAATTTTTTCACACAAATGTTAACTTGAAAATTTAATTTCCACAACTCAAAGCAGCTTCCCCTTCCTGACACAATGGATAATTTTGCTGCTGAATGTGTATGCTGGGTGATTCTTTCCTTCTAAAGATGTTCTCAGTTTCTTCTTGGCACTTTTTTTCTGCTTTCCTTTCATATCTCCCCTTCAAGTCTCCTAAAAATGCTTATCTTTTAGACATCTGTCCTGAATTTGCTATTGTAAATAGCGAGACAATAAAAACATTTCATTCCTTTGACAATTTCAACTCTTCAGTGCCTGAATGATTCTTCCCATCTATTGGAGACCTCTGCTGTATAATCCCCAGAGTCTCTCTTATTCTGGACACAGTGGAAATTACTGTTTGTATGACATAACCTCCCATGTGATTGTATTTCCTTTTGTATTTCACCTTTACCTTCTTTTCACTTTTTGTATTGCAATATCAGCTTTATCCTATAATTTCTACAACCTGGTATTGTTAATGTAGCACTTATTTTCAGACAGACCTTTTAATATCCCTATTTATATACTTTCTTCTCTACCCAAGACCTCAGAAATGATCTAACAATTATGACATATAACAAGTGCATATTACCTTTCAATCATGACTGCAATTTACTCTTCAACACATCCCACCTTGCTTGTAATCCTTCCTTATTTTCTGCTTGGATTCTACTTGGATTTCCTCCAACTTTTCTGCACTTAATGGCTTATGGTTTAGGTAAGATTTTTAAAAATTATTTACATAAGAATTTTAAAAATACTTACAAGGGTGTAAGCCATTTAGATACATGTAATTTCAGCCTATTTTAAATCTATAATGACTGGGGTGCCTTTTTTGGACTAATATCTTAGTTCTAAAGAACCATTACACTTTACGTCCCTTGAGCCTCAGTTTCTTTTTTTTCCCTCAAGGAATGCTGAAACACTTAGAACACAAATACTGCAAATGTACCTTTATCTAAATAGAAAATAAAACACTTGTTTTAATCAGACTGCCTTGTCATCCTACCAAAATCCAGTCTATCTAAATGAATCACACATGTTTTACATGCAGTTAAAATCATAGATGCTAATGAAAGCATTACAAATACAGACTGCTCTTAACTTTATTTTCCTACATATTTTGAATGACTAACTGGATATTTGAGACTGCCATACCAAGA